CTCTCTCTCTCTCTCTCTCTCTCTCTCTCTCTCTCTCTCTCTCTCTCCCTCAAAAACAAATAAACATTAAAAAATAAATGAAAATAAGCTTTAAAAAATTAAAAAAAAAGATTCTGTTTCTCCCTCTCTCTGCCCCTCCCCTGTTCACCATGTGCATACACACATGCACATACTCTCTCTCTCTAAAATAAATAATAAATAAATAAATAAATAGTATGTCTCTTCACATGATGACATCATAATGATAAGGAACATATATTCTTATACAGAGTTTAAGGCATAATCCCACTATTTACAACCTTCAGGACCTTGGGTGAGTACCTAACACGTCTGTAAATCAGTTTCTTCATCTGTAAAATAGAGATAATATCATATCCTCATAGGATTATTAAAATTAAAATGTTTGGCATATATAAAAATGCATTTAATTGCTGGTTATTTTTATTAATACTATATTTTCAGGGACTAATTTTCTTAAGGCAGATATATACAAATAAAAAGTATTTTAAAAATCGATTTTATTTGCTTTTAAATGAACCCTATGCTGTACTTTTATTTCAATACATTTGCATGTATTTCCAAATGGAGTATAGCAAACATAATATTACAAACAAAAAAGACCAATACTATCAACTGTATTTTTTAAGGTATGGCTTTTGATAGCAGTTTAAATTGGAACAAATTTTCTTGAAAACAATTTTTAAATATTTGAACCCTTTGATAATATATTCCAGTTGTTGAGAATGCAGTCTATAAACTTATAAAAAATAAGAAAAATAAATAAAAAGATAATATAATTTATTTAACAAACCTTCCTGATGTGTTATTTTATATGACACCTCACTGAAATATTTTGTTAAATTTTGTAAAATACATTTAATGTGGTAGTTTCTGAAGTTTGGCATGCATTAAAATGGACTAGAGGAGTTGTTAAAAGATCAGTTCTACCTCCAATCCACTTAAGAGTTCTGATTCAGTAGATCTGGGCTATGTGTAGCCCCAAATTTATATTTCCAAGTTCCTATGTGATGATGGTACTGTTGTTTCTGAGATCATACTTTAGGGTCTTTGATTTATTGGAATCCTACTTTATATTTAAAATAAATATAACACAAAGGGAAAGACTAGGTAAACAAACAATGCTCTTAAGTGGGAAAGATGAGAAGTATATGGTACCAATAAAAACATATAAAATAATGTAAGAAGAAACTAAGAAATTTAGAAACTAAGAAGAAGCTAAGAAACTTAGAAAAAACTAAGAAAAGATAAAATAAAATAAACAATTTATTAACTAGGTGGATATAATGCTGGGAAAATTTTCCTATGTTTGTATTACTGCTTTTTAATGTTCAATGCAATACATTTTTTTTAAAAAGTCCAAAATTATGTCAACTGTCACTCTACAGTAATGACTGATTTGAATTTGGAAAATCTTTTTTTCCTCATCCTTATGCCAGTACTTATGCCAATTGTTGATCTAATGTTGACAGAGTCCAAAATGTGAGTGCCAGGAATCTGACTCACATACTTGCATTTTGTATAATTTTACACCTTATATTATTTTCTTTGTGTTCTTACTATCTTACTAATTCTAAATAGTTTTATTGCTATCAAATAGTTTAAGATTTTTCAAGAGGATATTTCATGTTTTTGCTCTCAAAGAATGAGTTTAATGTTTATTAAGAGAGTCTGATTATTTTACACTTTAGTCACAAAATGAGTTGGCTAACTGAATCAGTAGTTTTCTTTTTAGCGAGGAATGCTCTGCTAAAAATGAAGTCATTTCTGGTATATCTGATGAATTGCTTTCCCAGATTCTCTCTTCTTTTTATTTTTTTTTTCTGTCTCAAAGCCTATACTCTACTTTAGAGATTTATATTAGGATATTGGCCATTTTCTAGAAGTTAATGAACTAGTTAGAAGCTGCATGTTGCATGTAGTTGCTACAATTAAAGGAAATTTAATTAATTCATATGCAATCCAAAAGAAAGCTCATATTATGTAAATGAATAGCTAGAACATATCCTTTCTGACAGTAATTATCCATGACTAACACTGAACTTAAGTTTCAGCTGAGATTAAATCAATTTAATCTGATCAACATGTCAAAGATTTCTTTTAAGTACATTCAGGCAGATGACACACTAAATGAATTTTAATCAAGAACTTATATCCTGCTGTCTCATAACTTGATAAAGTAACATTTGTTCCCCAAAAAAGTGCTGTATGTTTAACAAGTACATCATTTTATAATTTCTATGCCTTCAGAGCAGTATAAAAACTCCTCAAAAGACTTGAAACAAAGATGAGATCTTTAAAGATAAAAGACACCAAGTTATAAAGCAAAATAATTCCATAGAATTCTAAAAATTTTTTCTTCAGTTCTCAATCATGATGCAATCCTCTTCAAGTGATTACATATATAATATACAATTTACCAAATTGTATATTCTATATTCTATATTCATTCTTAATATAGAATGAATCTAAATTGAAATAAACTTTAATATAATGTACTTATTTTTATTTGTAAGGTGCTATGTTAGTTGCTATAGGACAGATGTAAAGAATCATCATTGACACTTTTTGTAGTGGCTCACAAAGGGCATAAGGCAGGATTTGAGTGTGCCCCAGTAGGGAAGGAAAGTTGGAGGGGCACAACTTGGAGAGTGAGATGGATAATAACAGGTAAGACCTCACAAGCAATGTATCACGTCACAGTTGAGGTTATGTCCTACAAATGGATTCGGAGTTCAGAAAGCTGCTCTAGGATTAGACACGGTATGGAATAAACAGATACTGGATTGAAAACAGAAACAGCAGACGGAGGTAAAAGATTGTGATGAGCTAACCACTTCTAATGATTCCAATGGAATATAAACATAATTAATTTAGAGTGCCAAGTTATTTGAGGTGTTAATTGTCTCATAAAAATGTATAATGCTAAAGTACCAAATATAAGTATCACGTTAACTTTGATTTGTTAAACAAACAAACAAACAAAACAGATTTCGGAATTGAACAGGATTACAGTCTTTGCTTTTCCATTACATATTAGTCTGACTTCATCTAGGCTGTAATGTCTTTAGGTCTGATATTCAAATGGTAAAATAAAAGGGAACTGATAAATTATGTTCAGATTTACTCTCATCCAATCTCTTCATTTAAGAATGCTTGGCAAAACATAATTTTAATAAAAGCTAATATCCAAGAAATATATTAATAAGCTTTGTCTAGAATGTTTAATATTTAAACTTCACCTGCATTAAACAATCACATACTCAATATTTTCTAGTTTAAAT